GGAGCCTGTTCTAGCAGGCACCCTCGGTGGCTGGCGCTGGCCGTCTCTGGGTCTTCCTCAGTGCGCCGCCTTCGAAGAGCGTCTCAGTCATGGTGTCGGAGGCCCCTCTGCCTCTGTCGGCGGTGTGTCCACTCTCCCCCTCCCCCCTGCTCTTCTCTCCCTCCTCCTCCCTCCCCTCCCTCCCTCCCTCCTCCTCTGTCCTCCGTCCCCCTCCTTCCTCCCTCCCCCTCCTCTTCTCTCCCTCTCCCCTCCTCCTCCCTCTCCCCCACCTCTGCCTCTTCGCCAACCCATCCCACTAGGAGAATCTTACTGGGTTCTCTGCGCAGGCACAGCAGACGTTGCCAGCCTCTGCTCCCCGACTTCTGGGGCCTCTTCTGAAAAGACTCTCACGTGCGCTCACCTGGTAAGATTCTCCCGATGCAGGCCTGGGTACTGACCTTGGCATGTGCGTCGGACTCTTGTCCCTGTCTCGTCTCCGCTGGCTGACTTGAATCTTGTGAATGTCGGCGTACACAGACTGACTGAGACCTGCGTCCCACTTCTCCCTCCCTAAAGCAGGGTGACAGGATGCTAGGCTTTGCCCGTCATCTCTGGGCTGCCTCCAACACCCAGGCTGCTGCCAGGGGCATGAGGACCTCGGCTTTCAGCTGCCTGGAAGACACCCCAGGCCATTCTGTCCAGCCAGCCCCCGGCCCCTGCCTTGCAGGGTTGTCTCTCCTCACTGTCTCTGTGCCTCGCTTCCCTCACGAATCTCCTCCAGAGACTAGTTCGCAGAGGGTGTCCTCTGGTGTCCGTCCTGGGAGGAGGGGGAGGAAGGAGGGGAGGTGGTACCCAGAGCCCGTCTAGAGAGGCCAGCCGGCCATGACCCACCGACAACGCGAGCCTGTGCCCTACCACCAGGCAGGTGCCCCCGAGGCACTCCCCCAAAGCCAGGAAAACACTTCCCCTTCCCCATCAAGCAGAACTATCCAGTCTTCTTTTCAGTATGTCTAAAGTGTTAAGTCGCCAAGCTACTGACCTCTGATTCTCACCTGCTGGAGCACGTTCTAAGCTGAGATGGAGCGCTGTTCCAGACAGAGACAGGTGCAGGTGAGCGGGATGAGCTCCCACTGCACCCCGAGCGCTGTGAGTGCATCCTGGATGCTCCCGGCTGCAAATCACCAGCTCTCTGCCCCTCCCCCCACCTCACCCCCAACTAGAGCCCATAACGTTCTGAGAGAGAAATTAGATGCTCATCAGAACTGTGCCTAAATTTAGCAGATAATTTTAGACTTTAATGTTTCAAGAATGACCGCTATAATTTTGGCAAGCAGTAATGGATTCAATGGTGATGTTAAGGAACACAGTTGATTTCAGCAAACCGGGGTGAATCCAGCCCTTGGCAGTGGGTGGCTGCAGGGGTGAGTGCCCAGGCCTTCCAGAAGGTTCCAGTCCCTTTCACAGGATGGAGGATGGCGTGCCACGTGCGGCTCCCTGCCACGGAGCGGAAATCGTCCTTCCATGCATCTGAGCTCAGTGGACAGTTTGACAGGCACCCTGTGCAGGGCCTGGCACACATCTGTCTCCTGTCCAGCCCTGGCAGCTCGCACGCCGTGGAGACCAGCTGCCCAGAGTGCCTGTTCTCAGACGCAGGCATGTGCATCAGCCACGTGCTCACAGATCTAAAAAGAGACGACCAGGCTGCGTTTTTGTCTTTCAGAAGGAGCCTGCATTTAAGATTATGGGGGATGAGAATTTTGACAAATTCACTGCTCTCAGGCCCGGGGCCTTTCCAGGGCGGACTGCTGACTTGTGGTCCATCTTTTCATGTGTAGCTTTTAGAGACCAGACAAGCATAAAGCAGTTTCAGCTGACAGTTGATCAAAGCAAGCAGAGGACTAGGTCTGCAAAACAAGCTGAATCCCGTTCGCTCTCTGATGGTTCCAGGGGACGTGGGACCCACTTCCGTATTCCTGTCCTGAAGAGTTCCATGTACGGGGGTGGAATCCGTCGTAACTGTTGTATCCGCTTCGCGGGGGAATGGGAGAGACCCCGAGGACGGATTTAGTGCGGCTCAGAACCTGCCCTTCAGCCCCGGACGCCAGGGAGGCACCGGCTGGATTGCTGCTTCTGATCCCACATGCTAAGCTGTCAGCAAGAGCCTGCCCAGCCCTGGGAAATGCTTAGCTTACACGAGGGAGGAGGGAACGGCTTGCTTTCACCTGTGTCTGGCCCTGGGCATCTCCCTGCCTGTCTGAGCTGTGGGAGGCAGAGGACAGGGACCGTGGGTGCTTTGTCACGGCTGCCCCAGCCCAGGCACCCACGCCCCCACCTCTGCGGTTCCCTGGTGCTGGCTGTTTAAGAGCTCTGGCTGTCACCAGGTGGGCGTGGGACCACCGCTTTGACTGGCAGAGGAAGGGGAGCGAAGGGACCTCCCAAGCTGGTGCTCTGCTGGGTCTGGGTGCTCAGACACGCCCCCCCCCCGGACATGGCCACATGCTGCGGGGACCTGGGCCTCAGAGAAAGGCCATCTGTGGGCACTCAGTGGACAGGCAGGCTGAGTCCCACCTTTAGTCATCCCAGCTCAGGGTCCCGGTGTGAGAGCAGAACCCTCCAGAAAAGTGCAGCTCCCGGCCGAGCCCGTCCCTCCCAGCCATGAGTCCTGAGCAGACGAGAGGCCCCGGGTGTTGGGGAGCAGCGGCTGGCCCCCTGCTGCGCCCGGCCCGAGTGCCTGCCCTGCAGGACCAACTGTGAGCGTAGTAAGTGGGGTGCTGTCCCCGCTGGTTTCGGGCAGCTTGTTGGGGAGCGGGGGGCCTTCCCGTTCCTCCCCTTCAGCGGTCTTGTTGAGCAGGCAGTCCCTGCCAGAGGCGGCACAGGGGCTGGCTCTGCGAAGCTGAGTGAATGGGGGGTCGGGCCATCGGCCCTGACGTCTCTGATCAGCCAGCCCCCACCTCCCAGGCCACTGGCGGGTGCAGGTGGGGCCGTCTCCCTTCTGGGGTCCCCGAGCTCTGCTCCCGTAACCCGGGTCTGAGCAGGCGGGCAGCTGGGGCCTCTCTGCCCCGAACCCTGCCCTCCAGCAACCTGATGGGGTGTGGCCTTTCTGACGGCGCTGCCTCAGACCTCCGGTCGCCCTCCCCGCCCTCCCCGCACTGCCACCCCCTCCAGGGGTCTCCCAGGCCTTGGGGATCAGCGCTCACCCCCTGGGCACGCACAAGCCAGCGAGGGGTTTATTTCCACCCCAGGCGAGAGTCTCCCCCACGCAGTGAGCAGAGCCGTGAGGGGAGGGCGTCTGGGGCTCTGCCTGTGAGGAGGCGGCTGTCACCTCCCTGAGGGATGGGGGGGGAGACGCAGGGAGGGTGTCGGGAAGACTGTCACGAGCGGTGCAGAGGGGCCTCTGCACAGATCCCTGCTTCAGGGTGGCCTCCCAGCGGCCAGGTGGGGAAGCAGCCTCGGGGCGGTGCAGAGAGGCCGTGCTGGACGGAGATGGGACGGACGTAATGCCTGCTGTGGAGCTGGAATCTCTGTAACGCGTTCCCAGGATGCTCCTGGGGGCGAAGAAGCACAGCAACCCCAGGCCACCTGGAAAATGGAGACAACGCGGGCTTGAGGCGTGGGTGTGGGGACCGAAGGTGCCCTCTGGGCTTGTGCACGGGGTGTCCCTGATGCATTTCAGTGGGATCAATGAGCTGGTCTTGGGGTGTTTGCACCTGGACCTCAGAGGAATGTTGTGAACTGGAGAAAGGCGGGGACTCTCCTGTTAGGGCGCATGCTGGCCGCTGAGGGTCACGAGGGGAGAGGCGAGAGGGCTGGCTGCCCAGGCTGCTTCTCAGAGTCTCTGTCTTTGTTCTCGGCACCGTTGCCCTGTGGCTGCTGAAACAAGTGGTCCCAAAGCGGGAGGCTTCCAACAACACAGCGTCTTCTCCTAGGGCTCTGGAGGCCGGAGCCCACAGACAAGGTGTCGGCAGAGCACGCTTCCCGGGAGGCTCTGGGGGAAGGTCCTTCCTGCCTCTTCCAGCGTCCAGGGCCCAGGGGTCCTTGGCTGGTGGCTGCATCTCCCACCTCTGCCTCCATCTTCACATCGCCTTCTTCTCTGCGTCCAATCTTCTGCTTCCCTGTTCCAAGCACTTTTGTGACTGGATTTCAGCCCCACCCTGAGAATCCAGGGTAATCTCTCCACTTCAGGGTCCTTCATTCCATCCAAAAAGACCCCTTCTCCTTACGTGGTCACATCCACAGCTTCCGGGATTAGGACCTGCTCCCTTTGGGAGCCATTGCTCAGCTCACTCCAAAAACAGAGGCCTGGGGAGACAGTGCTTTCAGACAGAAAGCTTGAGTTCGGGGTCAGAGCTCCGGCTGGAGTTGTGCTCCTGGGCGGCTGGTGGCCTTGGAATCGTAGCTGGGGGAACGGGACTGCTCCCTGGCTACCGGAGCCCCCGTTCGCTCATCCTTACAGGGGGACGGCCCTGCCCCTTGCTTGCGGCTTGCTGTCTGGGTTTCAGGAAAGCATGCATGTCAGGGGTTTGGTAGAGAGCTGGACACACATGTCTGGACAGATCTGAGCCCCAGCCCCTCAGGTCTCTCCTTAGAGGTGACCTGGCTGCTTTAGCCGTATCTCAGGCCAAATTCAGACTCGGCTGGGGTCTTTTCTGGGAGAGACTTGCACAGAGAAATGGGAAGCAGGATGGCCGTGAGCCCCCCGGGGGTGTCCGGGTGACCTCCAGCTCGGTACCAGGGCTGTGCTCCGGGGAGGGCGGGGGCTGGATTTGGGGCCAGGCTGAGCTCTGAGAAGCTGCGGGGGAGGACGGCCTGCGGGCTCCCTGTGCTAATGAGCCTTCGCTGCCCGGAGCTGACAGGGAGCCCTCCTGGGGGAGGAGAGCTGCGGAGCTGTGGTGCTGAGCCTGGCTTTCTGCTCTCATCTTTCTTTCCATGGCAACGAGGAGGGGGCAGGATGTGCAGTCTCACGGGGAAGCGTGGGCGCCGCTGTCTGCAGGCGGTGTGGCTGGAAGGAAAAACCCAGGAGCGGCAGCCCTGGTTCCAGCTCAGTGCTCGACACGTGCCCACCGTGGCTTCACAGGGAGGCTCCTGTGCTCTGCTCCCCCGGGTCAGCGGGCTGACCTGTGTCGCAGGAGAGGAAACTGAGACACAGACACACAGCTAGTGGAAAAGGAGACCAGGCACTGAAGTAGACGGCTTCTGACCGCTGGGCGGCCTGGCCCCCGGGGGACCCCACAGGTCCTTCCAGGGCCCTGAAGGGGCAGAGCCGGGCATCGGTCTGACGCTGAGAAAGGGGCACTGGCTGCACACGATTTCAGGAAGCCCAGGACTGCTGAGGACACCTGCTCACCCTGAGCTCACTTCGGGGTCTGCCAGGGCCCCTTGCACCGGGGAGCTGTGAGCCTGCACACGTGGCCTGCTGAGAGGCCCTAAGGACGCAGTGCGGCGAGTCGCTGCCGAAAGGCGGGCGGACAGAGGGAAGTCATGGGAGATGCCGCTCCCGCAGCCTGGGCGCTGGGGGCAGCTTTCAGGTCCAGGTCCCTCCTGACCGGTCACTCCTGGTGGGTGGACCCAGCCGGGAGGCAGCTCTGTCCCCCGCCGCCTGCCCGAGACCCAGCAGCTTCCCCAAGAGCGATGCTTCCTTTGTTGTTTCCCAAATAACCGCTCCCGCACTTCCCACCCGGGTCCCTGGCTCTCCTCGCTGGGGCTCTGACGGTTCTCGCTCTCTCCCGTGAGGGCACCTGTGGTATTTGGAGACGCCCCGTGTGTTACCTGTGAACCTCCCTGCCAGGGTGTTGGGACGGGGGACGGCTGTGCACCGCTCTCCCCTGGGGCCTGGGTGCTGCAGCTGATCCAAGGTCTGGGTGCTCTCCTGGGTGTCCCCCGCAGCCCTGCGCTCATGGTAACACAGCAGGTTGTCACTGGAGGTCAGCTGCATGTCCCCACACAGGATGTGGCTTCTAAGGAGAAAAGAGACGTTTACCTAGGGAAAGGAAAGCCCAGATGTGAGATATCATGTCCAGAGGAGAAATCCCGTGATCTGGAGACACAGGGACCCCCAGGTCCCGCTGCAGGAAAGACAGGGCGCCCCACCTCCCCCACCCCCCAGCCGGCTCAGGACTCATCTGGGGGAGCCCCACTTCTGCTTGAATGTCTCCAAGGGCTGGTGGTGGATTGACTGTGAGGTGGTGCCTTCACTGGTGGCAGCTTTCTTTTTAGAAAGCTCTGTTTAACCTGCAGCTGGATTCTGGGTCCTGGGGGAGCCGCCCCTGGGGAGGGCTGCCCTGGCATCGCCCTTGCCTCACCAGCCCTGCTGACGGGGCCGTCCTGGGCGCTGCTGCTCCCCTGTGGGGTCCGGGGTCCCGTCCAGGCGCAGGAGGGGCTGCTGGCTGGCCGGCCCAGCGGGAAGCACTCGCAGCCCTGACTCTGAAGACGCGTCCTTCTCCTTCACATCTCGGGCTGTCTCTGCTCCACGAAGGTGGACCCGCGTTCACAATAATCTGAAGCCTGGAGCCTGAGTAGGTTTTTCTTCGAACTCCATCTGCTTTTTAATTAGCAAAGATTCCTCCAAGATTTTCACATTAATTGATCATCACTCTCAGGTTTTGGTGCCGTGAATGTCTGTCTGTTCCCAAGCACGTGCGGGCCCGCCAGCTGGGTGAGGGTGGAGGTGGCAGGGCTGGGGAGTCCTCGTGGGTCTCTGATGGCTCAGCAGCCCCTACGAGGGGGCTCAGCTCATGATGTGGCATCGACGAGGACCAAGCTCACTGAGCTCCAAGCCCAGCTTCCCCACGACGCAGCCCCACCACCAGCAGAGCCGTCAGAGCTGCCTGGCCACGAGGACTGAGGTCTGGATGTCTGTCCGTAGTCTGTCCAGCGTCTGTCCAGCATCTGTCCAGCTCCCTGTCGGCTCAGAGCTCTGGTGGGAGGGCGGGTTCCTCAGGGAGCCCCAGCAGTGTCAGTCAGCTTCTTACAAAAACACCAGTTCCCATGTGCCGCCGTTTACCACCTCTTCCGGGCATTTTTTTTTTGGCCTTTATGTTCCTAGTAACAGGGCCCTAGTCATTAGACACGATGGAGTGAGGCATGGACTCACCCCATGGCAGAGGAGGGCTGACTCCCCAGGCCCCTCGCTGGCCACCCGGTCCACGGTGATGCGCACAGGGCCCAGCGTCTGTCGGGGCCCGTGTGGCTGTCGCTCAGCGCAGCGTGCCGTGGGCGCTCCGCCCTACACAGGCTCCGTGTGTCCATGCAGCACGTCCACTGGCTGAGTTTGTGAGGTGGGTCAGCTAGTGACTCAGCCGTCCGGGGCCCACCCCGAATGCCAGGATCTAGGGGCTTTCAGAGAATGTGTGATTTCTTTGGGGGCTGGCTGTGGATGGCGCCCAGCAGGGTTAACAGAGTGAGGGGCTGTTCAGGGCGCTGCCCCTCCCAGCCCTGAGGCTCGCTCCTGCCCTCCTCTCCCTGGTGTTCCTGAGGCCAGTTCCTTAGAGCATCTCCTGGAAGCCAGCGTGTGGGCAGGCCAGGGAGGTGCGGGAGCAGCAGGGCCGGGTGGGGCTGGATGCAGGTCCCCGGGGTGGAGCATCCGTCCTGTCATCCTCATCCCACGGTCCCGCTACCTTCTCTCTGGTAACTCTGGTGTAATCATTAGAAGAACCACTGGACTTTGTTTTTCAAAGCCGCTGCACAAGTTTTCATTTTCACCAGCAGAGTGTGAGGGTTCCCGTGTCTTCACATCTTCGCCAACACTTGGTCTTGTCTGTCTCTTTGATTTTGGCCACCCTAGTGGAGGGACATGGCGTTGCGTGGTGGTTTGATTTGTCTTTCCCTAATGACTAGAATTTTGAGCAGCTTTGCTCTGCTTGCTTGCCGTTCATATGTCTTCTCTGGAAAAACGTTTGTTCAAATTCTTTGCTCGCTTTGAAATTGGGCTGCCTGTCATTTTACTGCTGATTTCATTCTGACGTTTCCACGGTCTGTGTCTCTGTCCTCGCAGCTACTCTTCCGTGTACCTTAGCAGAAGGCCCTCACCTCTGCTCTGGGAGTCTGTTGGTTCCTACTGGGACCAACACAGTGATGACAGGGGATCTTCAATATACTTCTCTTCTTTTTTCTGCTTCTTATCATTGTCACGTTTTTGTTTGCTTGTTTTTCTGTTTACTTTTATATCTTTAAATAGACTTTTGTCTGTTACTTGATTTGTCTATTCTAAATGATAACATTTGACTCTCCACTTATCACAAAAAAAGGAGGAAATCCGCGTCCCTGGTGCCCCAGCTGGGAGCCGCGTTTATATAACCTGATTCGTCTGTTCGTATTTCCTCCTGTACGATAGTCATGCAACGTATTTTCATGGTTTATTTATGAAAATCGTATCACTAAAAGTCACTCAAAAATCACTCAGAAATACCTTGTGGACAGCACCCTAAATTGTCCCGTGCAGCTGATTACTTTAATGACTGCGTGATGGCTGATGGTGCAGATGAACTGTGTTTTCCCCTGTTCTCTTTGATTGAGGGACATTCGGTTTATTTCCAATTCTTGGTCAAAACAACTACAGCGAGAACTTCACACATCACTGACTCACTCCGCGCGCGTCTGTGGTCGGGTATGTCCTTGTGATACTG